GAATATGACCTAAGAGTAAAGCATCATTAGTCCACTTTTGGTCTGGACCAAACAAGCGTACCAAAGGACTTTCCTCAGAAACTCACTCAGCTGGAAGTGGCTTTCACCCTTTTTTTTTTTCTTCAGTAACCAATAACAACCTGAACATAAATCCACAAATTTACAAACAACCTGCCTAGGAGAAAGAAAATTGAGTTAAATGGAAAACTAATTGAACTTTTAGAGTACTTTATCAAGTCCGGTTAGACTCCAAAGTGCTTTACACTAGACATCCATTCACACACCGATGATGGTAAGCTACACTGTAGCCACAGCTGCCCTGGGGCACATTGACAGAGGTGGGGATGCCATGGTCCGGTGATGATCCAGTGGCACCGGTGCATGGCAGCCCCCGCCTCTGTCAATGTGCCCCAGGGCAGCTGTGGCTACAGTGTAGCTTACCATCATCAGTGTGTGAATGGGTGTCTAGTGTAAAGCACTTTGGAGTCTAACGGGTCTTGATAAAGTACTATAAAAGTTCAATTAGTTTTCCATTTAAGTCAATTTTCTTTCTCCTAGGCAGGTTGTTTGTAAATTTGTGGATTTATGTTCAGGTTGTTATTGGTTACTGACGGAAAAAAAAGGGTGAAAGCCACTTCCAGCTGAGTGAGTTTTTGAGGAAAGTCCTTTGGTACGCTTGTTTGGTCCAGACCAAAAGTGGACTAATGATGCTTTACTCTTAGGTTGTATTCACACCCGACACGTTTGGTTCGCTTTAAATGAACCAGAGTTCGTTTCCAGTGTTGGTCCAGACTTTTTGTGCAGGTGTGAATACACTCATGCRAACTCTGGTGCAGATCAAACAACCGGACCRAGACCCGCTTTTTAAGGTRGTCTGAGGTCTTGGTCCGCTTCCAAATGAACTCTGGTGCAGTTCGCTTCAGTTCWCTTCYGGTGTGAATACMGACCAGACTTGAACCGAACCAACTACATAAAACATGCACCTTTTTGGACTTAACAGGCCACCATTGCTGAGCTAAATAAACTGWAATCACAYGTTTTGTYGTCTCCTGCTTAGCAGCTCTGCTGGCAGCATGTWGTGGGTCAGAACACKCAGAGCATCTCGTCTCCTTTGGGTCGCGGGACACATTTACTGACGCCGCTCCGAAATTAGAATATCATCACAAAACCACCATTAAGTTAGCTGCTTTTGACATTTTAAATGGTGTTGCAGTTGTACTATCAGCATAAATGTGGACATCAGAACCGCAGCACGCAGAACTTCAGTGTTTTCTTCTGGGTCTGTGCACTCAGTCCCGCCCCCCGTCCTTTCTGTCCAGTGGGAGCAATGATCGTCACCCTCGTGGCTTTGTTTACAAGTTATAGTTCGTTTGCAAAAAAAAGCACAATGTGAATGCAAACTGCACCAAATGAAAAAAAAAATGCAACTCTGTAACGTCTTTAAAATGAGTGTTTAGCAGGTTGCTACAATATATTATCAAAGCTGAAGACCCAGCTCTTATGGTCACGGTTCACCACCAGACACAAGTCGATCTGATGAGCAGTAAATCAGCAGGCAAAAGAACTATGAAAAAAAAACACACATTAAAGAAGGGCTGCTATGGAAACYCAGATCTCCAATTGAGAAGTGACTAAACATAGAAATGTATTTTCCAAGAACCATGACCCTTGGAAAAAGAATGYTGATAGGAAAAGAAAAAAGTAATTGTTGCATAATCCTTGATGAACATTATAAACTGCATGTGTTTTGCCGTTTAATTAAACTGGACTCAAAATAATTCTTTTTTAACTTAGCACAATGGTCTGTGCTAAATGAACAGATAATAATGCTTGAGACTGGTGCAGTTTTGGAGTCTCAACCACAGGATTGGTGCTAATTCTAAACTATGATTAAATGTAATAGTAAATGTACAGCGGCCGTGGTTAAGGGAGTCATTCCTCTAATGCAAAAGTTGGCTGTTCGAGTCCCCTGTTATTCAGTCACATCTCAAAGTGTCCTTGGGCAGACACTGAGCTTTCAGTGTATGAGTGATTTAAGCACTGATTAGTCTCCAAAGAATAATTTATGTACATCAGCTTTGWAGAGAGTAGAGTGCTGTGTGGATAAATCACTGAGGGCACAGAYTGTAATGTAAAGAGCTTTGTGTATCCTGATTGGACAGAAAGGCAGCATACAAGTACGGACCATTTAACATAGTTTGAGGAGTAATATGCAAATTAATCCAGCTACTAGAGGAATCACAAGTGGATAGCACCAAACACAGGTGTGAAGAAAAACACTAGAGTTAACACCTGGATCCTTTCTGGCATGCTCWTTTTTTTTTWTTTTGGCAAAATGTAATTCTGTAAAAAGCTGTGTCAAAATTATGCACAGCTGTCAGCAGATTTTAAAAACATTGTTACAACATCTGAAAAGTAATATTGAAACAACAGGTTTTTTGGGGTTAAAACTTTTATTTGTATTTCTTTGATCATTGTCATTTTTTTAATATTTCAAAAATACCAATCAGTACAGGAGGTTTTAGGTAAATAGCTTCAATGGTGCAGTTATGTTTTTTTTTCTTTGATTGTACTTCTGTGGTAGGGATGTCCCTACATCAGTTTTTTCTCAAGTACCCAAACTGAGTACTTACTGAATTAGAACCTGAACATTACACAATAACTTTAAAAACACATTTAATTTATTAAGAACAACATACTCTTGTTCACTAAAGATCTACAGCATCTGTGACTGGATCAAATCAAATATAGTCTACAGCATATGTACTGTTGCAGCAGTTTTAAATAAATCAAAATTTAAAAATGTGTAACTTGCATTAATTTCTTAATTCAATTCAATTCAAATTCAAAAAATACTTTATTGATCCCAGGAGGAAATTAGGTTAAATACTGAACTAACAAAATTTTCACTTGAAATGTAAACTGTAACACATGGGCATATTGATACCAGTATCCCAGTATCAATACTGATATTTGTACCAGTTCTAAGTACTGGGGCATTTTGTATAAGAGATATGTGGACTAAGCAATCTGGGGTAACCATATTGTATAAAAGTGAAGTAATCATTATTATGACCCCCGCACGTGAAGCGTCAGCGGGAGTCATATTGCTTTTGTACGGTTTTTTTTTTTTTTTCAGTGATATTTGGTCAACCGTGGCACAAGAACGGCTGCACCAATCAACACGAAATTTGACAGGGCTGTAGCTGAGTCTGACCTACACTGGGCCAGCCAACGGTTTTATGATAGACCCCATAT